ACCTATGCATTGTGTGCTCAGCAAAATGCATTGTTATTGCATTTTAATGTTATTTCACCATAAAATGTTAACCATGAATACAACAGAGCAAAAATACATGTGATTGGTGGACAGACATTTGCTCATTTGCTCAAATCCCTCACTCATTCCTGCATAGTGTGCTATACATAGCTAGTTTGCTCACTCATTCATTAATTCCTTATAGTGAATACTGCATAGTGTGCTATAATATGGAATAGTGAGTGATTTCACTGACACTGAAGAGAATAAAAACTAATGCTGTTTGATTTGGTTGTGAAAAGTCACCTCTGTTGGTCATTGATACACAGCAGCCACGTGTGTTTAAGCGTTTCATGGTTGTGAAAGATTCAGTCCTGCTTGGGATTAGCAAGGGGTAGCTTTTTGTCATGCCTAATCAAAAGTAAATCAGGGTATCTTGTTCTAGCTAATCAAAACAGTCTTTCCAGTTATTCTTTTGTAGCAGTGGTAACTGTTACCCTGCTACACCCTGTCTGCAGTAGCCTGCTTTGCTTTCAGACAGAAGGTGATGGTTTAATTGGTAGATGTTAACATTAAATACTGATTGCATGTAGTAACTTCTACACGCGGTGGTTGGAGAACAAGATCCCCTGCTGAAAAGGAAAAAAACAAAAACTAAAACCAGCCTAAGCCTTTTTAGACAGGTGATTGGTCAGACTGGGAGACCAGTTAGGGGAGAGTGGGGTAAGATGAGCCATTTTTTACTTAAGTGGTCCTCAAGATAAGGGGAAATGAGGCAGAAGTACAATGAAAGTATCTAAAGTCATATCAGGATGTTTCCTATCATTTACATTTTTCAGAATGTATCTATGTATAAAGGGTTCTAAAAATATGGCTTCTTATACAAAAGTTTTCCTGTGGCTTACTTTGCCCCAGGTTAGGGGTAAGTTGACCCGGGACAGTGGGTAAGATGCACCATCTGGGTGTAAACATGACCACCTAATTGAATCTGATTCAAACCCATGTGAATTTTTAAAGATAATTTACCTCTTTTTAAAACTAACTTAATCAAATTTCCTTTTACAGACAGTCATATTTCTTTGTTTGTGTGTGTGTGTGTGTGTGTGTGTGTGTGTGTGTGTGTGTGTGTGTGTGTGTGTGTGTGTGGTTCAGGTAAACCCTATGTCATGGGGACAAAAATGTACCCACAAAGATGGCCATATCTGATATCCTTGTCTTAGTGGGAGACATATTTTGGGGACAATTTGGTACCCAGAAGTGAGCAAAACCTGACAAATCACCAAAAACCTCCCTTTGAGGACGTCCTTATTTGTAAAACTGTGTTTTGCAATTTGTGAACATACAGCAGGATACAAGGCAGAGGAACTGATCAGAGATTGATCAGAGATGTATCAGAAGAAGGGAGACAGATTGCATCAAATACAGCAGTTTACATTACATTATGCCATGTGATACTGTATGTAAATGCATTACAATGGTAGAGACTGCACATTACCAGAATCAAGTCACCTTTATTTATATTGCGCTTTATACAATACAGATTATGTCAAACAGGAAAATAGTTTGTCAATAATGCAAGAAGACAAACAGTCAATTTTTCAGTTAAAGTCAGTTCAGTGATGATTCAGTGATGTCATCATCCAGATGTCATCATCCAAACACTCTTCCAATAGTGCTTTTGCAATAAAGCCAACAATATTGCCAGAAATTAAGCGTCCCCAACTAAGCAAGCCATAGGCAAGAGTGGCAAGGAACCAAAACTCCATCAAAACTCACAGAAAACCTTTTGGCCAGTTCTCTTCTGGCCAGACAAAACCAGGATGTGTGTGGTTTAATTCCAGGCTGCAACACAGGTCAGATTGAGCAGAGGACTTCTCGTGGTCTTGTCCCGATGGCCATCTAGGTGACGAGGTCTTCGCAGGGGATCTACCTCTAGGGCTCATCTAGTTGACATGATCTCCGCTGACATTCAGGGCTGTAGAGGTCGTCTCTAGGTGCTGAGCCACCATCTGATCTGGATACAGACTGGATCTGTATGGCTACGGTGACCTTGGAATAAGAATGAAAGAGACTAATATTAGCGTAGATGCCATTCTTCTTATGATGTAGCGAGTACATCGGGTGTTATGGGAAGTGTTCCCGGTTCCGGTTGTCCTAATTAATGCAGCCTAACAATCCTTTAACAGATTTGAGTTATAGAAGTGTGTTAGTGTGTTATGTGTAAGCCAGGTTGAAGAGATGGGTTTTTAATCTAGATTTAAACTGACAGAGTGTGTCTGCCTCCTGAACAACGCTAGGTAGATTGTTCCAGAGTTTGGGTGCTAAATAGGAAAAGGATCTGCCACGGATTTGAATATTAGAAGCGTATTAGTGTGTTATGTGTAAGCCAGGTTAAAGAGATGGGTCTTTAATCTAGATTTAAACTGACAGAGTGTGTCTGCCTCCCGAACAATGTTAGGTAGGTTATTCCAGATTTTGGGAGCTAAATAGGAAAAGGATCTGCCACCCGCAGTTGATTTTGATATTCTAGGTATTATGAAATGGCCAGAGTTTTGAGATCGCAGCGGACGTGAAGGACTATAGTGCGATATGAGCTCACTCATGTATTGAGGAGCTAAACCATTCAGGGCTTTATAAGTAATTAGCAAGATTTTAAGATGTGTTCGTTGTTCAATAGGGAGCCAGTGCAGAGTTGACAGAACCGGGTTAATATGGTCATACTTCCTGGTTCTAGTAAGATCTCTAGCTGCTGCATTTTGGACCAGCTGGAGTTTGTTTATTAAGCGCGCAGAACAACCACCCAATAAAGAATTACAATAATCTAACCTTGTGGTCATGAATGCATGAATTACCGTTTCTGCATTTGACATTGATAAGGTCGTAATTTAGATATATTTTTAAGATGGAAAAATGCGGTTTTACAAATGCTAGAAACATGACTTTCAAAGGAAAGATCGCTATCAAATAGCACACCTAGGTTCCTAACTGATGACAAAGAATTAACAGAGCAGCCATCAAGTGTTGACTATAACTCACCTTTCATCTGAAAAGTTCAGAGTATAGATTCAGTCATGTGGCACAGTGAGGACATTTACTGCACTGACAGTAAACTCTGTTCTAGCACAAAACGTCTCAGGTTACGTATGTAACCATGGTTCCCTGAGTAGGGAACGAGACACTGCGTCCTCTAGGGGTCGCTATGGGGAACGCCTCGTCGTGACCCGTGTCTGAAGCATACATTGAAAAAAACACCAACAACACGTTGGCCGGCGACAGCCATGACGTCACTACCGGTGCGACCATAGTATAAATAGGCGCCGGGAGAACACATCATCCACTTCTTCGTCTGAACTGTCTCAACAGACCCCTAGTAGCAACACCCTGTTAACGTAGGTGTCCAGAGGATACATAAGTGGAGTGGTGCCCAAGGCGGAACCGGGGTTTTAAACCACTCAAGAAAGAGCATGAGGCTGCCGCGCGTAGCTCTTACCATAAAGGATTTTAGAAAGAACCCAGGGTACTAGCGTGCGAACTTACCACAGTGTAGATTTTAGAAAGTGTACAAAGACTAACGTGCACACTTACCATAACATGGATTTAAAAATACCGTTCTAAGGGG